ATTTATTCTCCGATTTATTGGTTTGGTTTGGCCAACTGGATTGATTTAGCTTGCCATGGGAAGAGGTGCTTTGTGATGGGTTAGATCTTGCGGTGCTCAATCCCAGTGACAGAAGGGGACATGACACGCATGTATTGTTGCTATTAAGGGTAACAAGATGGGGTTTATTCATACGTGGGTTAATCTTGTCTACATCATGTCATCTTTCTTAATGCATTACTCCGTTTTTCCATGAACTTAATACACTAGATGCATGCTGGATAGCGGTCGATGTGTGGAGTAATAGTAGTAGATGCACAATCGTTTCGGTCTACTAATCTTGGACGTGATGCCTATATACATGATCATTGCTTTGGATATTATCATAATTATTCGCTTTATATCAATTGTCCAACCGTAATTTGCTTACCCACCGTATGCTATTTTCTCGAGAGAAGTCTCTAGTGAAAACTACGGACCACGAGTCTCCGAGGTGCCTGCCTCACCATTGTGAGTGCTACAGGCTACCCAGCTATCCTCTCCTGTGCAAAAGCAGCTCATAAGAGAGGTGAGGACTGCCATGGTGCTCTGCTTGTCTTGCCCGAGCTGTCGAGCGAGCCATTCATCTCTAATATTATTTTTGAACGCCATGATGGCCTCAACGTTGGAGCGATTTATGATCTGATTCTTTTCGGTTAGGAACCTGTTCCAGAACTTCTGGGCTGATTCGCTCGATTGCTGGATGACGAGGCTAAGGTCTTTGGCATCCAGAGGTCGAACATAGGTCCTTGGAAATTTTCCCTAAAGGCATCCTTGAGGGCTTCCCAGCTCCCGATGGAGTGAGGAGGCGGGTTGTTGAGCCAATGCCTTGCCGTCACCTTTAGCTTGAGCGACAGATACTTGATGGCTTGGAGGTCATATCCATTGGCCATGTGTATGTGCAGGAGGAAATCCTCGACCCACACAGCTAGATCGGTTGTGCCATCATATGATTCTATGTTGATGTATTTAAACCCGACCAGGAATTGATGTTCCATTGCCATGTCTGTAAAACAGATAGGGTGAGCGGGACCTCGGGTCTGAGTAGTGCCGCGACGGATGTCGGGGAGATCCGTGTGTAGGCCTGGTCCCGAGCTCGGTCATTCCTGTCCATCCATGCATCATAGCGGTCGCGTCCCGCGGATTCGCGCCTTCTGGATCCGTAAATGGATCGAGGCGGCAGCCGGTTTGCTTCTATTCGACGTCGAACGTTATGAGGGTCTATGTAGTCCACAGGGTCCTTGCCATGACGGGGTGGAGCCGGTTGGGTGTGGAAATTTTCTCACACTAGTCTGTCACACCCTCTAGGGGCCGATCAGGCACATCGGCGGTTATTCGTCATCTAACTTAGACAATAGACGCCTGCGCGGATAAGATTTGGGCCCGCTATGGCATCGCTCTTTGAGATCTTGTTCGACCGAGAGTACTTCAATCCACTTTTCGTTCAGCGCATCTGTATTGGCCTGCAGCAGCTGCTGCTTGCATTTCATACTTCGAGCAGTGGCGATAAGGCGCCGCTGGAAGCGCTCTTGCTCAAAGGGGTCTACGGGGACGATATAGTCATCGGGGTCGAGGCTCGTGTCATCCTCGGACTTCGGCATATAGTTGTTGGCAGCCCCTTCAAAGAGGTCATCGGGGTCTAGGTCCTCGAGGATTCCTTCCGGGGTGGCGTGACATTCCAGGGAAGCTTGAAGATCTTCCCCTAGGTCATCAGCCTCATCTGCCGCCGTGCCGCTGTTGTTTCCGTTGGGTTTCCCATTGGTGCCCCGCCCGCGTCTGCGTTAACGCCTGGGGGGGTCTAGGTGTGTCGACCATGTATACATCGTAGGTAGATGTTGCGGTCCACTTGTTGGTATTTACTAACGGTGAACTATTTTTACTGGGGCCATCGGCATCTTCATCCATGTCTGTGGCCTCGTCATAGTCTAGCACGTTGGTTAAGTCATCAACCATGGTGACAAGGTGGGTGGTGGGTGGGATGTAAATTCCCGATCGTCGGCTTTAAGTCCGATCTTGTTGTAAACCGAAGTCTTGCCGTTCGAGATTGACATGCTCTGGATACTGTCAAGCATCTTGTTCATGTGAGATAGCTCTTCGGAGTTAGGTTGTAAGAGGGGCTAACTCAAAGTACGCCTGGCGTATAACTCAACGTGTTTTCGGCGAGGTGAGGATCTGAGGGCAATTCTAGATCCTACGCCAGGGTCGGTTCTAAATCTGACGTGGCTTCAGAGATGGGGACCGGACTAGCGTTCGGGCCAGGAGTCGAGGTGATATCGCCTGGGGCCACCGGGCTAGGCACCTCCGGTGGTGCCAAGGAGCCTGATCTGATGTCCTCAAAGGAGATCTGTTCCGGAGTCGAGCCTCCGATGCTTGGTAAACCCTCAAACCGGTCTGGCGTCCAGCCTGATAGGAAAAGCTCGCCACGGGAGTCCGCAGTGTACTCCAGGCCTTTAAAGGTCACAATCTAACCTGGGGCATAGTTCTCAATGGAGGCTAGATTGCCTGTTGAGTCGGCGCAGAAGATCATGCTTCCGAACACAAAGAGTTGGTCAGGGACATAAACGTATCTGTGGTCGGTGCTGCAGTTGATCTGCAGATGAGCCATCGATCTTTTTGTTGATCTCACAACGGAACTCTCAATGAAAGCACCAGTGTCGGTGTGAAATCCGATAGACCTTGGGGTAGGGGGTCTCGAGTTGTGGATCTTGGATCGATGGTAATAGGAACAGGAGAGACAATGTTTACCTAGGTTCAGGCCCTCTTGATGGAGGTAAAACCCTACATCCTGCTCTTTTTATATTGATGGAGATGTATCAAGTACAGAGTTGATCCACCTCGAGATTGTAAGTTGTGTTCTACCTCAAGGGCTAGGCGAATGTAATTGTGATTTGGTCCCCTCTACGGGCTAAACCCCTTGGCTTATATACACGGGCCCATTAGCCCGGCTCAGAGACTATGGGCCGACTAGGTTAGTAACCCCTAGTCCAGGATACCGTCTCCTCTTGGCCGAGGTGATAAGTCCTCTTCCAATGCACGTGTGCTTAGATGGAGTGCTAGGTGCTTTAACAAGTTTAGCAACTAAAGCCCTCGATGCATAGGTGCTTAGTTTCTTGTTGCTAAGCTTATTTCCTTTAATTGTTTAATAACTAAACTCTTTCATGCATAGGGTAAACTTCTTTCATTTAAGTGTCTTGCATAGGTCAGCTTGGTATTCGTTCTTCCTGGGGTCATCAAACTCATCTCTCTCCTCTTGCATTATCAATTTTTTTGCCTATGTGGCATGCTTAGCACCCGTACATAGTGGAGCACAGGAAAGGGCCTAAGGGAGCATTCACGTGAGGCACTGTCGTATGTAATGGGTGCGGCCGATGACATGTCAAGATTCGCGCAGGCCATCTGATGGCAGCCAACACGTTCGCTCCGAGCTCTAAAAATCAGACATATATTTTGCCATTTTGAAAGAAAAAGAACAGTAGTCTACCACCATAAGGCCATGAACTATGGTGACACTACCTATATACTGCCTCACCATTGCCACATAGAAAAATAACATGGAAACCATTGTCCCAAAATCCAATGCCCAACGCAGCACTATCCTCAAGCCGATCTTATTTACTTATCACATTTCTCTCTCCTGTTTTACCCAAATCTCAGCCCAACACTCTGTTCATCCTTTCTATTTTCTCTTCCCTTCTCTTGTCTTTCATTGACTCATCGCACTTTTGTCAGGGAGGAGACGGCCTCCTCTGCAAGATCCCCTTTACTCTGCAAGCAGCACAAACAGCAATCAAGGACCTCCCAAACCTACGTGGAGCGTTGAGGCATCTGTCTACTGTGTAGTGTTGGCCATGCCCGAAGTAAGGAAGTCTCCTTGATAAGTTCCTCACTTTCCCCACAAAAAAAGTTCGTCCTTTCCAGTTCATAATTTTTTTGGAGCTTTTCCCATATAGTATGGCTTCATCAGCCTTGAAAAAATAATAAAAATGGCCCGGTTAGAGCATCTCCAATAGACGGTCCAAATGTAAAAACACCTAACTCTTGGACCGTCTGAGGCAAAAAACGCTTCTCCAGCAGACGGTCCATATGTAAAAAAATTAGACCGCGGCCTCCTCGTGATGTAAAACGCAACACCTCGCGGTGCAAATTTACATCACGAGGTGCATTTGGTCCAACAACAGCCGCCGCCCGCGAACGCCCAACCGCCACTTCATTTCCCTTCCCGCCCGCCCGCCCGCGTCTGCCCGCCTGCTTCCTGCCCAGCCGCCGCCGCCCCCGCCGTCCGGCGCCGCCATGGCCAAAGGCGACGACCCCGCTGCCTTCTCCGCCGTCGTAGCCGGTGGGCTGACCCACGTGGCTACCGCCACTGCCATCTCGCCCGCAACCGCTGTCATGCCACCGCCCCCGCCCGCCGGCCCGGATTAGCACCACCCCGGCCGGTGGCCACCGCGCCGATCGCGAAGCCTACGAAGGGACGAGGCGGCGGAAAACGGGCGGCCAACCGCAGCCGCAACCCGACCGACAGTTCTACATGGCCGGTGAAGCTCTCCAAGGCAGTCGCGGCGGCTCGGGTTGACGAATCGTAGCCGATGCGGCCGGCGACCTCCTCCAGCAGCCCTACATCCATTCCTCAACCTCCCCCACCGCCACCGCCGGCCGTGGAGGACGATGTGGCCACGCCGATGGTCACCGCCTCCAACATGTTCGACGAAATGTCTCAAAGGTATAAATTTTCCGGTTGTCCTCTCGTTTGTTGTTTTAAACTGTATGTGTTTTTGATTGTTTGTGCGTCCAATTGTAGTCTTGATGATGAAGCTTTCATGCACGCGACAAATGTGGCAAATGATGATTACATGTATGCGTCACAATAATATGAAACCCAATATGATGATGACAATCTTGATGTGGTTGATGAGGGCTTTGTTGTCAAGGGAAGAAGTGGAAATTATACCACCGCGGAGGATGTGTTGATATGCACCGCTTGGATGAAAATCTCTCAAGATGCAAGCATTGGAAATGACCAAACGGTGAAGACTTATTGGCAACGCATCAAGGAGTACTTCGATGAGTGCAACACAAGTGGTCACTTCCGTTCGAGCGACTCTCTACGCCAATGTTGGTCCACCATCAACGCCGAACGCCAAAAGTGGTTCGGTTGCTTGTCAAACGTTGCTCGCATGAACCCAAGTGGTTGCTATTAGGTTCTACGGTAGCGTGCGTCGACTGCAAATTAAAAATTCCTATGAGCAGAACAACCAAGAACATGCTACAGGAGATGGATCACAGATCGTTACCACTAGACGCGCAGTGCTGTGCAGCAGAAGTAGAGTTGAGGCAGCGCGTCCGCGTGGATCGTCTCCTCCTTGTCCGATCTCCCTCGAACAGCCAGTCGTCCGATCCCACGTACAAGTTCGCCGGAGTGGCGCAAGTGCACCGCCTCTAATGGTATCCGCGTGTGTAGGAGGAACACCGTGCGGTGGACTACTAGGTCCAACCACACAGTCAGCGGCGAGTGGAGGTGGCTATTCGCAACACATGCAAACCCTAGTGACAGCGCCGAAGCGATCAGCCGCATGAGTGTGCTGCACCTCCACTTTATATAGGCGTCCGTCGCGGGCTCAACACTTGGGCCTCGCATGAACCCTAAAGCCCAAAGTCTACTCGGTCACGTTCCGAGTCCAGTTCAGATCACATCCGACCAGTGTCCTATGAACCGACCCCGTAGGTTCCTTCCCTTAAGCGCGCGACCCCTTAGGTTCAAGTCGGCTTGATCGTAGATCGGATCACCTCTGAACTGCATGGTTGGTAGCGGCCTCTAGCAAGGCATGCCGAACACCAAGCAGAGTATGAAGCTGGTTAGGCGAACCTGTACAATGTGTCACACATCTATTCCCTTTGCCTCATGATATATGTTGTCGGGCTCAAGGCGAGACTGTCATCCTTGTGCTAGCCCGACCTCTTTCTCGTTCCAGTGATACCGACCACAAACCAGATTATCTCATAATCCTTGTCGCATGGCCATGCTTATCCTGGTCGGATCACACGAGGGGCCCAAAGTATATCTCTCCTGATCGGAGGGGCAAATCCCATCTTGCTCGACCATGTCTCGCAACATGGGACTGGACAAACCTGAAATCTACCTTTGTAACTACCCAGTCACGTAGTAGCGTTTGGTCGGCCCAAAGCAAGTCTGTCACCATCCCGAGTACATGCGTCAGCTCAGGTCTTAGGACATAGAACGTATGTTGTACTAGAGACTCACAGATGACATATCGCTGCGTCTCATAGTTGGGTCTGTCCGACTCGGACCTTATCTCGACTCGGATCCGACTACGTCGAATCCGACCAGACCTTTCCAAGTCCATATTATCCGGTTAGCATCCAATGCTCCATGGCTAGTGCGACCGAGCCATCGACCATGTCATATGCTTGTCTAGTCGGCTACGCGTCCACACAGCCCTTTCGACTAGGGACCTTTTAGGATAGTCATCATACAATGCATAGTCCCACAAACAAGTCACATACTTGCTGATGCACGTCATTGATAATGTCCAAGGACTATCTTTATTCATAAACACATAGGAAATATCACCATACATGATTGCCTCTAGGGCATATCTCCAACAGTCTTCCACTTGCACTAGAGTCAATCAAATAGACATCGAATGCCCATAGCTCTAACGTGCACCTCATGCTTGGGTTGTGGAAGCGGCTTACTCAAAAGATCTGCAACATTTGCATCCATGTGAATCTTGCATAACTCTACATCACAATTCTTTACGATCTTTCATATCAGGTGATATTTCCGATCTATGTGTCTGCCCTTGTGGTGATTCCTCGGCTCCTTGACTTGTGTGATGGCACCAGAATTATCACAATGAAGGTCCAACGGTTTCACCGAGGCTGGGAAAATACCAAGATCGTCCAGAAAATGCCGGATCCAAACACCTTCCTTTGCAGCTTCACAAGCCGCAATGTATTTGGCTTCTGTGGTAGAATCGGCCACCGTATCCTACTTGGAACTCATCCAATGCATTGCCCCTCCGTTCAGGACGTACACGAATCCGGACTATTATCGACAATCATCTCTGTCGGTTTGGAAACTAGCATCGGTGTAACCCTTTATGACAAGCTCTTCCTCACCTCCATAAACTAGGAACATCTCTTTAGTCCTTTTCAGGTACTTCAAAATAGTCTTCACCGCTGCCCAGTGACTCTCACCTGGGTTGGCCTGGTATCTACTTGTTAGGCTTATTGCAAAAGCAACATTAGGCCGTGTACATATCATGGCATACATGATGGATCCGATTGCCGAGGTATACGGAATCCTACTCATCCTGTTTTGCTCATCAGATGTTGAAGGACTCTGAGTCTCGCTTAGCCTTATACCATGTGAGAGTGGCAAGAACCCTTTCTTCGCCTCACTCATGTTGAACTGCTTCAACACTTTATCTATGTACGTGCTCTGGCTCAAGCCGAGCATCCTCCTCGATCTATATCTATAGATCTTAATGCCTAAAATATACACTGCCTCACCAAGGTCTTTCATCGAAAACTTGCCATTCAATGATCCCTTGACCGAGTTCAGCATCGAAACATCATTTTTGATCAGTAATATGTCATCCACATATAAGATCAAAAACACTATTGAGCTCCCACTTTACTTCTTGTATAAACAAGCGGCCTCTTTGCTTTTGATGAAACCGAGACCAGTGACGACCTCATCAAAACGAATATTCCAGCTCCGAGATGCTTGGCTCAACCCATAAATGGATCTCTTGAGCTTGCATACCTTACTAGTGCTAGTCGGATCGACAAAACCCTCAGACTGTATCGTATACACGTCCTCGGTTAAATTTTCATGAAGGAAAGCCGTTTTGACATCCATCTACCATATCTCGTAATCAAAATATGCAGCTATAGCTAGTACGATCCTCACCGACTTCAGCATCGCTATCGGCGAGTAAGTCTTATCGTAGTCAATTCCTTGAACTTGTCCATAACCCTTAATGACAAGCCGAGCTTTGTGGATCTAAACATTTCCATCCACATCGGTTTTCTTCTTAAAGACCCATTTGCAACCAATGGTTGTTACGCCAGGCGGCGGATCAACCAAGTCCCAGACCTGATTCTCATCCATGGACTTTAACTCGGATCTCATGGCCTCCAGCCATGCCTCGGAATCTGGGCTCACCATAGCTTCTGCATATGTGGCCGGCTCATCGCTTTCTAGCAACAATACATCGCACACTCTGCGCAATCTTTCTGACCTCCGTGGTTCCGGTGCCGCTTCCACTACAGGTTCCCTGACTGACTCCAGTATGATCTCATCACCAGCCGAGCCGTCCCTGAGTGGTCCTCGAATTTCTTCGAGTCAGGCCGTCCTCCCACTGGCCTCCGGACTGAGAAACTCTTTCTCAAGGAAAACCCCATTCCAAGCAACAAACACTTCATTCTCCTCCCGGTTGTAGAAGTTATATCCCAAGGTTTCCCTCGGATATCCCATGAATATGCATTTATCCGACTTGGGTGTAAGCTTGTCTGACATAAGTCGCTTGAAAAATGCTTCACAACCCCAAATCTTTAGAAAAGACAAACTAGGACTCTTCCCAGTCCACATCTCATGTGGTGTCTTGTCTACTGATTTTGATGGTACCCTGTTAAGTGTGAAAGCTGCAGTTTCTAGAGCGTATCCCCAGAATGACAAGGGTAAATCCGATGTGCTCATCATAGACCGGACCATGTCCAACAAGGTCCTATTCCTCCATTACGACAAGTCATTTCTCTGTGGCGTACCCGAAGGTGTGAGCTGAGGTACTATACCTCGACTTTTCAGATGATCATCAAACTCCTGGCTCATGTACTCACCTCCACGATCAGATCGCAGAAGCTTTATAGTCTTGCCGAGCTGATTCTCAACCTTGCTCTGAAACTCTTTGAACTTTTCAAAAGTTTCCGACTTGTGCCTCATCAAATAGATATATCCATATCTACTCAAGTCGTCGGTAAAAGTCAGAAGTATTGATAGCCACCTCTGGCAGTTGTGCTCATTGGACCACACACATCACTATGTATAAGTTCCAATAGCTCGGACGCCCTCTCACAACTCTTTGCGAAAGGAGATTTAGTCATCTTGCCAAGAAAGCATGATTCACATGTCTCGAACGACTCAAAGTCGGACGAAGTTAGGAGCCCATCATCATGGAGCTTCTTCATGTGTTTCAGACTAATGTATCGAAGCCGGCAATGCCAGAAGTATGTCGGATTTATCTCATTAGGCTTATGCCTCTTGACATTCACGTTATAGACCGGTTTCTGTTCTAGATTCAATATAAATAGCCCATCAACAATGGGTGCATAGCCGTGGAAAATACCATTCAAAAATATCGAACAACCATTGTCCTTTAGATTGAATTCATAACCCTGACTCATCAAGCATGAGGCAGAAATAATGTTCCGACTAAGTGCAGGAATGTAATAACAATTATTCAATTCCATAATGAATCCGGAAGGAAGCTGGAGCTACATCGTGCCGACCTCCAACGCAGCAACTCTTGCTTTGTTGCCGACCCTGATGTCAATCTCCCCTTGTACCACACGCCTAGTTCTTACCAGCCCATGCATCGAGTTGCAAATATGAACAACCGATCCGGTATCAAATACCCAAGAGCTACTAGGTATGTCAGCAAGGTAAATGTCTATAACATATGCAACAAGGGTACCTTTGCCTGAAGAAGCATTTCCGGCCTTCTTGCCATGCTCTGCAAGCCACTTGCTATAGTTCCTCTTCTAGTGACCGGTCTCCTTGCAGTGATAGTAAACGGTCTTCGAGTCTGGTCCAGACTTTGGCGCAGCAGCGGAGGTTACCATCTCCGTGCCCTTTGCCTTAGCCTTCTTCTTGGACCAACTCTTCTTGAACTTAGCCAATTTCTGCACCATCAACACTTGATGCGTGCCTTTCTTAATGTCTTGCTCTGCCACTTTGAGCATCCCATGCAATTCAGTGAGATTCTTATCCATGCCATGCATATGATAGTTTGAGATGAATGCCCCATAGCTAGGCGGAAGAGAACCCAGAACTGCATCTGTAGCCAGCTCATCCAAGAGCGGGAAGCCCAACTGATCCAAAGCTTGCACATACATGATCATCTTGATCACATGTGGGCTCAGTGGATCACCTTCCTTCAGCTTGCAATCCATC